CGCCCTTAAAAACCGGAGAGCGAGAAGGCGGGGGAAGCTTTCGGGAGTGGCGGGCGCTGGGGGTGGGCAGGTGAATAAGAGGAGGGTGAGTTGCCCTAATGGGCGCAGTTGCGTAACGGGGGCTCCACGTAGAGGGAGCGGACGTTGCTGAGGAAGTGGGCCCTACTAGCGCTTCGCGGGCTGGGGGAAAGCCGCGTTCGCCCGCCAGCCCTAGCTTGGGCACGGGGCGCTCTTGGTGCAACCGAAAAATAACGGCTTCCCCACACGGGGAGCGGGGACAGTACTGGCTCGGGCTACCCGCTCTTGGGCCGCGGGAGGAAGGATAAGGAGGAGCCACCGCCCCCCGAGGCGGTGGTTGAAGTGGCGGTTAACGCCCATGCAGAAGGGCGGTGGCGGTGGCCGAAGTGAGGGCACCTCCGGTGGCAGGACGGTTGTGGCTTCACCCACTTTGGGATGCGGAGGCGCCTTTGCTCTCTCGGCGGCTGTGGCTGGCGGCTTGCAGCGGAGCAGAGACTTTCCTGCCGCCTCTCGCCACGGGAGAGCGACCGTTAGTCCGCCAACGGACGAGCGCGTGACGGGACCCGACGCGTGCTGGGCGTGAGGGGGCGGGGCGCCCAAGGGAGAGCCGCCCTTCTGCGGGAGGCAGTGACAGGTGGAGCGGTGCCCGCTGGCATCAGCCCCGCGGCCGTTGCGTCACGTGGCGTGGCGTGGCGTGGCGCGGCGCGGGCGACGTCTCGCGAGGCAGCGGCGGGAGGGCGCTGTGTTGTGAGGCGTTGAGCGGCTCGGTTACGGCGTGGTGGGCTGCAGCGGGGCTGCTTCATGGGGAAGCGCGAAGGACTGACGTTGCGCTGCCGGGAATGCCTCACGCGTAAGTCTCTTGAGCTTTTTTGGACGTTGCGGAGAAAGGAGCTTTGTGTGCTCTGGTTGCTTCCCCTTTATGAGGCTGAGCTTGCCCACAGTGTTCCTTGTGGCGTAGATGCTACCTAGGCATCCTTAATTCCTCGACCTTTCCTGGCTTATCCGAGAACTTGAACTTACTATTGTCTCTTTGCAGTCCTGTTAATTTGCCCGTACTGCCAGGAAGTTTTAGGGTTTTTGAAAATCATTAGATCTTAACATCTGCTTGTGAAGAACCAGCCTTCTGGGGGTGCATGGTGGCACAGCTCACTGCTCATACCCATTTTGCTGAAAATGGATGAGCAGTGATCTTCTGTAACATCACTGTATCCCTTCTCCAGTGTCTAGCCACAGCCCCATGACAGGGCAGACTTTTTTCTCTGCGAGTTGAATTTCCTCCCCTCAGAACAGGGCCTGTTTTATGATGCCAGGTGCTCCCAACCATAATTGGAGCTACAAACTGCCTTTGGGAATTAGATTAATAAGGTCCAAGGCCAAACTATCCATGTGATGTTCAGTCACAATGGTGCTGCTTACTGGTTTTATCCCCTCTTAACTGCCACCGTGAAATCTTGTACTCATGAAACTGAGGCATGTTCCTGCCTCTGTAGGTGTTACAGCTGTTTGCATGTCAGTGATGTCTTCCAATTGGATCCTCAAATGTTTTCTGATCCTGGAGGTGTCTGTTTCACAGTGCAGAAACATGGGAAGAGTGCAAGTGTGCAAGGCAGGTGCTGCTTCGCAGCTCACTGATTGGAAATGTGGTCCAGTCAAAGTCTTGAATCATGCAAAGGAAGACAAGACTCAAATTAGTATGTCCTTGCTTCTCTTAAAAGCTGAATCTTGTCATGTAGCCATACTTTCTGATGCAGATGCAGTTAGGACACAGAAAGCACCTGAGTTTGCTATGGTTGCATATCTTGAAATAGCCAGCAGGCAGCTGGTTAGCGTGTTGGTATAATAGACAGGCTTAGTGTTTAAAGTACTTTTGAGTTTGGTGTCCAGCTAAAAAACAGGTTACTTTTGGTTCCGAGAGTGGACCACAGTCTGTTAATGGTGAAAAGAGCTGTGATCAAACATCTGTCTTCACCTGTATTTTACATGGCTTATCATTCACACATTTTCTCATCGGCACGAAGGACTCTACTGGTGGGTACAGTGCCAAAATAAGATATTTTACCAGTATCCCAAGTATAAGACAATGGAAGGGATAGTAAAGAAAACTATTTCTCAATACAAGGAAGATATTTTCTAAATTACAAAGCAATTCAAGAGACTTCATAGAAGCAGTGACTAAGTGAGTGCCCGCTCCGCTTCTTAGTTCAGCTGAAAGTATCATGAGAAACTTCTATGCACCTGAAGTCACAACATCTCTAGTACCCAACTCTGGAGCAGTAACCACTGTTAACCTCTGTATCCTGCCTGTATTGCTTGCATTGAACTAGCTGCTTTTGATTTCTGTTTTGTTTTGGGTTTGTTTTTTTGCTTTGGGTTGTTTTTTTTGTGTGTCTGAACTACTGTTTGGATGACATGAGTTGTCATGCATTGTTTCAACTCTTCGAGATGCATCCAAAGTTTAACTTCTGCAATAATAGCAAGAAAAGCTTGAAAATGCATGCTGAAAGTAGCACTCCCTGCCCTTGTAAACAGTCAGGTAACAGTTTTGGGAGGTAAGACTTGTACACCATCACATGGATGAAAGGATCTGTTTCAGGTAAGTGTGATGCTTGTCTCCTGCTTTAAGATATGCCATGGAAGCTGACCTCAGAAGGAATATGTCCTTATGTTCTCAAGAAGAAAGAATTGAACTGCAGTGCTGTTCTTCAATTATTACAGATCTATCAAGTATTACTTAACTCATTAGGTTTTAGCTTAGTTTAAATTCCAAAGTCATCTGTGAGTCTCCAGAATCACTTTGGTACTTTCTGCATGAAAGCAGTGGACTGATGAAACTCTTGGACTGAACTGTACTCTTAGAGTTCCCCTTCCCTGTATGTTTTCATCCCTATTAATTTTCCATGCAGAGTTTTTGTATTCCTGTACACTTTGGCAGGTGCTGCCTTGTCATGCTGCAAGACTTGCCCGATCAGTTAAGAGACTGAGCACTGTTAGTATGTGTACAATTGCAGGGTAGTTTATGCCAGGGAGAGCTCTGTTACAAGTAGATGTTTGACATGCTGGTCATTCTCTGCAGCTCCAAATTGAAATGCTAAGTTAATGCACCACTTCTGAAAAGCAATATTGGAGACAGCAGAAGTTTGTTCTACAGTTCTCTTTATAAATAAATATACATCGCCTCATGCCTTTTTTTAGCTGAAAAGCAACTCCCGAAATTGCTGCACAGAAGTTGATATGGAAGGAAGACTCAGCTTCAACGATGGGATTCAAGCTGTCATCTCACTGAATGTCAGTGGTAGTTGTGGTATCTCAAGCATCCAGGTTCACTGGCAAATAGGACAAGCCTGAGCACGCATCAGTGAGAACTCAATCTCGGGAAAATAGCTCCATGGTAGGATGGAACAAGGGAAGGGTGACCTGTTCCAGATCTACTTTTCACTCTCACTTCAGTATTACTTTTCACTTTTAACTCCAGCAATCAAGTGCTTAGCTTGCATTGTCAATTAAAGGAGGGAGGACCTTTTCAGAGGTTTTGGTGATTGCGCCAGCTTTAAATGAGCAAGAGTACAGTAGTCTGTCATGAATGGTCACCACAAATACACTGTAAATCTGTTGAGGTCCTAACTGGAGGCACGTTGCTACAATAGATACTGTCTAGTGTCAGGAATGCTGCTTCTCACAAAGTATGAAGCTCCTTGCTGCAAGTCTCCTGAATGGCAACTGCACAAGTAGTCCATTAGTGTTCAGAGCCCTGAAAATTTCGCAGATTTTTCTGAAGAGAATTCTACCTTAAAAAAAGACTTGGTCTTCAAAATGTAAAATGTTTTGGGCTGCCTATGTGTAAAATAAGGAGGAGCAAATGCATGCAAATACTAAAATGTTTTAATGTGTACATCTTAAAAAAGACAACCATGGATATAAACTCAAAAGCGTTACCTGTCAGGAGTATACCATACTGGTTTGTTTTAGCCATGCCTAATCTTCCACAACTCAGGATATGAAGCTGCCCGTGTGACTTCTTTGTACTGGCTTTTGGACTTTAAAAAAAAAATTGAGAGCTTTTTTTTGAACTCTCCAAAGCTCTGTATAGTATCACACAAAAAGATTGTTTGTTGTTTTTTTTTTTTAAGGCAGTTACTTCAGTATGTTGACAGTCTGCAGGTTGAACTTCCTTAACTTTCAGCATGGATGAGCTGAACCTCTCTCCCTGTTTAACATGGAATTCTTCCTGGACAAGGCAGCTACCACCAACTCACTTTCTCAAAGCAATATTCCTTGCTGGACTAAATCTGCCTTATTTTCTGTGTTTCTACAACACTTGGTCTCCAGAAGGACAGAGGTTCAGTGCAGCACTTCTGTAGTTATACCAAGTGTATAAAAAAGCCAGACTTGCTCCGTGAAAAGTTTTCTGGATCACAGTGTGTTTCCATGGATGATTACTGTTCCTTTACTATCTCACCTCCTCATCAGATCCATTCTCAGATACGTGCTTATTTTCAAAACTGCTGATTAACAGAACCTTTTGATCATTATTAACATATTTGGTGTGACTCCCAAGTCAGGTAGTAAATTTGAGTAATTTATCAATCCCTGCAGGATACAATTAAATTCTCACATGTCTTCTATAGTCCAGAGCGTACATGCTAGTCACCTACAGCAATATTTGTTATTTCAGCCCCTAGAAAAACTATGGTGCTTGAAATTAGGTGTATCAGGTCAAATTGGTGTTTCATTCCTGCTTGTGAAAGTTCTTTGCAGCTGCAAGCTATGAGCTGCTCAGGAAGTGAAGGTAAGTCACCTCCTTACACTGTCACACAAGAGTATGAAGAAGCTCAGGATGCACATGTGATCTCTCATACTTTTGGTTTGGTTTTGTTCTGGGGGCCCTTGTTTCATTTTTGAAGGTTTTCTACGTGTGGAGTCAACATTATAATAGCTCAGAAGACCTCTAACTATAAGGCAAATACCCTTTTACAGTAGCCCAGGAGAAATGTGACAAGACAACCATCTTGGATTTGTGTGTCAACTGAAAACAGCAAAGAAGAAAGGAAGCTAATCAGAAGGACCCACAGGATGCCATTTTGTGCCTTAGGAAATATAAATGTAACTTGCATTATTGCCACCTTGCCAGATTTCAGTAAAGCTGCCTGAAATATGTGACTATTGGGCATATAAGGGAAAACAGCCTAAACTAATACAACCTGACAATGGATTAGTCAGGAAGAAAGTAGTTCCTTTGTTTAACCTTCCATATTCATTAACAGTTGGGGGTTTTCTGCATCTTTGTTCTTCCTGCTCTTTTCATTTACTCCAGTGTTACAGCAGAAAAGCTTGAATTACTAAATTATGTTCTTGAAATTTGGAACAAAAAAACGTGGTAATTCATTTTTGTATTTGAGTAGTAGCTCTTATATTGTCCAGGAGTTCACAATAAAATGATGTACAATTTGCATGTTCCCTGTACCACCTTCACTGAAGTTCTGATCAATGTGGTGTGATAATCCATGTTATATCTTGACAGTGAGTGGTAGTCAAGAAAGTAGGAGACTGATCTAAACCCCAGGTTTTTGTTCGGGGTTTTTTTCCACAAAATAGTCAAATGCTTTTGCTAGCTATAAGGAAAAACAGTACATGTGTAGAAGAATTCTTATTGCAACTAGAAAGGAAAAGAAGTCTTTCCAGTACTCTCTATCACTATGTTAATAAACAAATTGTTCTTCAATTTCAGAAATACTGTATTAACTATGGGTGGTGAAGGGAGTGAAAGTGAGCTAATCTAGGAAATGCATTATTATCATGAAGGTACTTTTTTTTTCATGAAAGCATTAAAAAAGTAATAACTAAATAGTTACAGACCTTCTGTCTTGCTTGAATCATATAGTAATTTTTGTCTATTGCCCTCTCAGTTAGCTTGATTTTAAAACCTGAATTGTATCTGAAAGGCTTGCTCCTTGAATTCAGCTGGAATGTAAGTGATAATTCATAGTCACAAGAAGTACCCACAGTTACCAATTGAGCAGTAATATCTGTCACTGTGCAGTGTGCCAGCAGAAATCATAAAATTTCCCTTGAGCAGCAGAAACTTCAAAGGAATTGTTACTTATTTAAAAATAATAAACAACATGCCAACAATTCAATCTAAACATGGAAAACTGTGAATTTGTATACATAACTGTATTCTGAACTGTTTTATGAAATTGAGAAATGTTTTTACTCTGGATATTTTGTAGATCTGCTGTGTAAAAGGCACTCTTTCTCTGCATGCCAGCATGAGCACACTTGACTGTTTGCTTAAGTTCCATCAGCAGAAGGGAGTCTTAGAAGAGCTACCACTGTATCATATATTTTGCACTCTACAGATCTCTGATATTATTCTAAGTGGCAATTTCTGCAGAGTTGGAGAAATAAACAGTATGAAAAATTAAACTTATCCAGGAAGTGGTTCATTTACAGTGCTTCTGTTCATAGATATATTTATTTTTTTTATCATATCTCTTCCCCCCAGCACTTTTGGTTGTGTACACCCATTGCAAATACGCATTTGGTGTGTGTTCCAAATGCGGGAATGATTTCATTGATGTTAATAGTTTCAGGAGGTAAGTGTTCTCCCTCCCACTATGAAGCGGATGTGGCAGCTTATGACATTGCACCTACCAAAGAAATCACCCATTTGACAGATGCTGATCATGAACAAGTATCTGCTCTTCAAAAGGAGTGGAAAAAAAAAAAAAAAGAAATTGTAAGAGAAGTCATGCAGGCAAGAAATCTCAATTGTTGAGAAGCTGGTAATAAAATACTGTGTTTATATTAACTTGTCTTCATCTTCAGGTTGACAGTTGTAGCTCCCCTGGAACTTTATAGAATTTGGCAAGTGCTGCCAAGGAGAGGGGGGCTGGAAAAAAGCAGCTTTTATTTTTCTCCAGCTAGGTATTTATATATGTCTTAAGATGCTAGGCTAATGCTTTTTGAAGCCTACTGGTTTTCTGGCTTGTAAGTAATAATAAGTAAATAACATTTCTAAAGCAGCTGTGAAACAAAGTTACATTTTTTCTTGTGTAAACATTTGAAAGGAGCTGTTCATGATGCTCAGCAAACTAGATGAATGGATATCTTGTTTACTTTTGTAAATTCTGGGACAGAATGCAATATTATCCAACTTGTATTATCATTTGGTATTTTTGCTTTTCTCCTAAAGCAGAGGAGGTCACATGATCTTACTGGATTTAATTTAGTACTTTATAGACAAATCATTTCAAGAAAGTATTTGAGAATTATTTTTAAAAGCCTCATCTGTATGCTGCTTTTTGTTAAAGATTGTTCTCAATGTCTAAAACGACATCAACAGCTTCAATAATCAGTCTGAAAAACTATTTTGGTTGTAGTCGCAGTCTTTTCTGCCCGTTTCCTACTACATCTACCCGTACAACGACTTCTAAAATCCAGTGCTTTTTGCACAACTAATGGTATATATTAAGTCTTGTAATCATGTAGCGACAAAAGTTTTAAAGGTGGAAATGGCAAAGGGGCTCTGTGGCGTGTGATACGTCTTGTACAGAGGTAAGGTAGTGGCTCAGGAAGCTCCATTGTACACTTGCTAGATGCAGACAATGAAAATTCTCCACCCTTAGAGCAATCAGTGAGTCAGGGAGCATTTCAAGTAACATAAAACATGATGCTTAAATTTGAAGACTCTTGCTGTAGGGCGTGCAACTGTTCCTTTACATTTTAGAATGTAAACAAAACAAACTGGCATCCCATCAATGCGATGCATAGGACTTAATGGATAAGGAACAGGGTTGTACCCTGTTCAGCATGTGTGACTGGAAGATCAAATAAGATGTATACTCAATTTTGATTATTTTGTTGTTGTTCATAAATTGCTACGATGAGAGGTAGGTTCTATATAGTAGCTCTCTAGTGGTTCCCATCATAGTGTTTTCTGCATGTCAATAGGAGCTGATCATGAGAACATTGGGATGGCATGAGGAAGACAAGCAGTTTCTGTCAGAAGCTTAACATTCATAAAACCAAAAGCAAGCCCTGCCTTTATGTATACATTTTCCCTTGTTTCCTCCACCCATAAGCTGCATTTTACTTGAGAACCTGTGAAACAGGAAATTGCTAGTTTAGGAATGGTTTGGGGAATTCCCCATCTTAAAATTTCTCAAGGTATGGTTTGGTTTCTTAATTTTGAAGTTGTGTGTTTGTTTGTACGAAGATACTAAGTACTACCAAAGTCAGTTTGTGAGCAGCTCTTCTCTAGTGGTGGTTTGTTTTTTGGTCTGTAAATGAGTTCTCTGGTGGTTTATACTTGTGGGGAAAGTTAAAGCCTACTGTTTCTCTCCATGGATATGTATTCCCAGACTGAAAGCCAGCCAAATGAGAGGAAGGAAATTGCCATTGGTCTTGATGGGGGAACAGCCTTTTGGGAAAGGGAATAGCAAAGAGCAGCTTCACTAAGAACAGGCAATGTTTTCCACAGCCTTGATATGTTTCAGTTGGTACTTTTTCTGCCAGTAGTGGATACACAAAATTTTACTGTAAATTGTGGATTTAAGTCTTTATACCGCAAAATCAATACTTCTTGATATCAATAAATCCCTCTAATATTCCTCCCTTTCAATTAAAAAATAAATAAAATCTATATCCGCTACTTCATTCAAATGCTTACATTTAAGCATCCAAGTTTACCCCTACTGGAGTATCAGTAGCTGTCTAGATACCATGAAAATATTAGTGCAATTGGCACTATTGTGAAGACACCAAAGTTTTGACAGTACATGGATACATTTCTTCTCAGGCTAGGTCATATAAAAATGACCAGCGCATAGTCTTTAGAAATTTACATTGGTGCTGCTCAGGTTATAGTTGTTCCCTTTACAAAAAAAGCAGGACAAATATTTTATGATAGAATGTAAACACTACTGTTGGCAATCATGTCATTGGTTCTTTTTTAAACAAGAAGTTCGTTTTGCTTTCATTACATATCTCTTCAATGCAGGTGTATTTCTAGTGAATAATCCCACCTTACTAAGGACCCAAATGGGCAAGTTATGGAATGCCATCTAAAGAGACTTGCTGCTCAGTATTTGGCAAGATCAAGCCCCATTTTTAATGGGTCAGTTCAGATAAGATTGCAATCTCCGAATGCTTATCAGAACTCCTTTATACAGGAAATTGGGCAAGAAACAGTTTTTTCTTGCAAACTCAGTATTGTTCCTGGCTTCTGTTACATCAGCCTGTGCTAAAGGAGACATCCTGCACTGTTGTACTTCTGCTCTCTCTGAAAACATAATTTAATGCAATATGTATCATTAGTGAAGAGCAACTTTTACATATCTACTGTTGAGCCTCTTTCATGAATCAACTGATTTTTTTCAAGTGAATATTCCTCTTTAGGGTTATTAATTTTTCAATGTAAATGCTGTCAGTGGTCTGCAAAATGTAGGGAAAATATAAGCAGGATGATGACAATTTCTGTCTCTCGGAGGGTTTTGATTACAAACAGTGCAGTGTACGTGGGTAGTTTGGCAGCATACGAGAAACGGAGATCACGACAGCAGCTGGAGAGTCAGGAACAAGGAGGTGAAGAGAGAGCTAAGTGCACAAGATGGATCTGATCATGAGTTAAATAGAGGGCAAATTCTTGATTTGTCACTTTCTCCAACTCTTCTTTCTGTTGCTGTCATAGTTTTCCACTAGTTGTGTAAAACATGACTGTTTCGTTAAAATTCCAAAGGGTCTGGCAAAAAGCCAGGTCAGATCAGGTTTGTGTTTGGTTGGTTTTCCACAGTCTTGGTCAAGCCAATGACTATGGCAGCTCTTTTGTCAAAAATTACATGGCCATGTAACCAACATGAAGCTGTCTCAGAATGTCATCGCATGACATTTATTTTAAAAGGGCAGCCCCTGTTTCTGAACTGTCCCCTCCTAATCACTGTTGCCAACCCTTCCAACTCTCTGTCTGCAGCCTGCCCCAGCCATCCCTCAGCAATACTGATTTAACTCTTTCCAGTGCTGTGCTGGAAACTGAAGCAAAGTCATTGAAGTAACCTCAGTTAAAAACAAACAAAACCCCACCCTAAAAAAAAAAAACAACCCGCAACAACACACCCCCAAACCTTCAGAGGGAGGTGAAAGCCACTTCCAGGCAACTCTTATGGTAAATTGTTCACATGAAGGATTGTGAAAAATATTTAAGGATAACATCATTTTAATATGAAATTAAATGCCAGATGATACAATGATCGTATTATTGAGTAGCATATTGAATTCTATTAAAACTTGTCTGGCTAATAAATTTTACATCATTGCAGGCTGCTGCTGTGAAGAATCCTGAGATTCTTTTGTGAGGAGGTTCGGCCTGTTCGTAACAGTGCCTCAGGAGCTGGTTGATTGATGCACAACACAGTGAGATGATTGCATCTTGTGAGGTTGACTGGAGATTGCCATCAGAGGAAGAAAAACCAA